TTAAGAAAATTGTTGCTGATTTAAAGACCTTGAATGTCAAATATAATGAAGTAGATTTGGGATTGATTTGATTGTGTTCATTACCCATTTCATACATATTTTTTAGAGACATGATTTTATATACTTGTGATACTGTTACAATCGAAGAAGACTATAATGTTCTATATTCAAAAGAGAAGATGAAGTATCTGGTTACATTTGAGGTTTATAGAGATAGCATCATTATTGATTTTGGTCGTACAAGACACAAGTCAAAATCTAACTTCAAAATTTGTAATTATTGCAAGAAGAGAAGGCATTTGATAAACGAATGTTATAATTTGCAGAATAAAGTAAACATAACTACAAATCAACAATCAAAAACTCTAGGGAGAAGCAAATATTGCAGAAAATCTCAACAGTAATGGAGAGCTTTTACTTATGTTAGACTCCAGCTCCAAACCTGACGAGACTTGGATTCTTGATATAACTTGTACTTTTTTATATTTGTCCCAATGGGGATATTTTTCAACATATGAAGAAGTTTCAAAATGTATTATGATGATTGACAATAATACAAGAAACTTGAGAGGAGCGACGAACCTGAGAAAGGGATCCAGAATCTGAGAAAGCGACTGGAGGGGAAGGAACTAGGCTGCCACCATAAAGCGATAGTGAGACTTGAGTCGAACTAGGGCATTTGTACTGGTCGTGCTAGGTTAAATCGGGGTTGGTAAGGAAGATTGTCGTGTAACTGATATTGGCTATGTCAAAATAAAGATGTTTGATGGGATGGTTAGAACACTTGATGCAGTGAGACATGTACCAGATCTAAAGAGAAGTTTATCTTCTTAAGTACTCTTGATTTGAAAAAGGTATAAGTACACTATTGAAAGTAAGGTTCTGAAGGTTAGTAAAAGAGACCGTGTTTTGTTAAAGGGATGTGGAAAATCCCATTTATATATCTTTTAGTGTTTTAAGAATCTCTGATCAATCGAAATGGTTTGAGAACTTATGTAGATTTGAAGTTCAATTTTGTACCATTAAAGTCTAATTTGAGATCTTTTTTAAAGAATACATCACCGTTGAATTTAGAAGTTATGGGTAAATCTACCTTGCTACCGTTATTGGCGGTGTTATTGTATTTAATTGCTAGTAATATACCCATCTTTGGCCATAAGACTCCACATGGGTACTATTTCGTTGATTTAGTTGATGAGTTGAATGCAACTAAGGATGTTGATTCTAACCAATATCCTTCTCTTAATGCATTCAGTTGTGATTCTGTTACAAAGTTTTGTTTCAACCTTGTTTGGTGAACATTAGATCACTTTTGCACCTATCTGAGGTGACATAGGTGGGGGGAATATTTCTAGTTGAAAATTTTTTATGGAGAATTTCATTTGTGTTTTTTTGTAAAAAAGTTGAAATTTATTCCTTGTAGTGAAATTTCTCTTTAGGTGGGGAATCTTTGAAGTTTGTTTATTGCGTGTAATTCATGTCAAGGTGGAGTTTGTTGGAATTAGGATGTGATCCGAATTCTATTTGAAATTTTATTTGGAATTCTTTGAAGCATATTTGGCAAATTATAGTTGAAGTTCCTTTGGAAACCCAATCAAGAGTTGGAATTTGTGTTGGATTTGAAGAAGTTAATATACGGATTGGAGAGAAATTTTAGACCTTTTGTTATTAGTTGGTCGCTAGGCAATCGCTTAAGTGACGCCGTAGGAATTCTGTGCAGAGAGCTAGCATCCTCCTAGCGCTTGAGTGGTGGCTCATCTGGTCCTGGTCCGTTTTCATGTTTGACACATTTTGAACACTCATTTCCATCTATAATTCTACTATTATGGTTTGGATGTCCTGTATTTGTTTCGTATATATGTTTGACTCTTCTCTACAATTTAGTCAAGGTTATTTAATCTTATTGTAAGTTAGAAATATTGCAAACACAAAATTTTTGTATTCTTTTTTTATATTATAATAAGATCTACATTCTTTGCAAATTACATGGTTTTCGTGTTTTTGTGATATTTTATTTCATATTGTATCTATAATCTCATATTTTCCCCCAACAAATTAATATTTGACTAATTCAGTTCCAATTTTTCTATACAACTAAATATTTAGTTTCAATTTTGTATTTGTTTACATAAATCTTTCTAATCTCTCTTAACGTGATTTTTGGATAGAATTGTCATTAGAAACAAAATATGCTAATTAATTTACTCAAAACTATGAATTGTCGTCACATCAAAATATCCATCTTTTTATGCTCCTATTTAGATTTCTTGTATGCAATACTTCAAATCTAAAATCTCAATCAATCCTTAAATATACAAGATTAATTTGTATAAGTTTACCAAGTGAACTAACTAGAAACGGATAATTTCATTACTTGCATGCAACACAAGATGAATGATGTTTCTATCATCACTAAAATATCACACTTACTACATTTTCTAGAAAATAAATATATTTTGACAAAATTTAGTTGACAAGAGAGAACAGAAAAAATGCAATTTCCAAACTGTTCTCTATTCTCGAAGATAAATAAAATCCTTTCATTTTTTCACCTTTCCTTTAACATAAAGAATCAAAGATTAGCAATGGAAAATCAGTTTAAGCTAAGATCATGACAGGTCCATAAACTCCTTCTGCCAACAATAATTGGAAGTGATTTAAGTAGGCATGAGATCGAGATACATGGCAAAATAAGATGTATCTCATTCCTTTAACTAGGTTTGTTAACCTAGAACCATTCTTCACTGCCTTGGGACAAGGGCTGAGCCTTTTTCAATCACATAGTTACTAAAACTCAATTTTTATTCTAACCATACAGGAGTCTAGTTGAGATTTAGACGATTGATCAACTGTGTAAATATTTAACATTATCATTTTAAGTACATGATTCATAGGAATTCAGGGGCGAATCTAACATGAATGTTCAATTAGGGCGGACGTTGACTTTGTCCACCACCAAACTTAAAATTTGATTAATGAAAAAATTGATAAGTTTTAGAAAAAAAAACTCTGTCCAACAAGTCGTCATATAATTTTGTTAAAACTTCAACCCAACACTACCTATCTCACATTAATGTTTATCCATCCAAATGACAAAGAGGCGGCATGAAATGGCTTCTTCAACCTCCAATCTGAAGCAACCCATTCAATTTAAGTTGTTTCCATTCATTTTCTATCCCAAATTTACATCTATCAAATGGATTCTTCTTCTTAATATACATATTCTAATCATTATACACATCCAAACAATTAAAAGATAAAATGCAGAATCAGGAAAAAATAATTAAAACTTGTTACTACAAATCCAAATTCATTCATTAGCAATTTTGTTGTTTTTTTTTTTTTTTTTGGATAGAATTAAGACCTTTGGATCTTTCAAGTTGAGAGTTATAAACTTGTTTTCCTGCGCTTACAAGCACGCGTTTACACTGAACTTTTAACTTTTATTTACTTCTAAATAAAATAATTTGAGTATTATGACGTTATTTCATTTAAATTTGCATCAAAATTCAGCCAATAGTGAACTCATATTGAAAAGGCAATTTCATTCATACTGAAAGTCTAAAACCAATAGTGACCCAATTTTTTCCCCACCTTAACTCATATCGAGTTTGTCTAAAAAATTCACGATAACAAATTGATATTGAAAAGACATTGCAGAATATGCCACAGGCCCACAGTATAGAACTTCCACTGATTTAAGAATTAACAGAGAATGAATAGAATTTAAAGGCTAGCAAGTAATATATTTAAAAAAAAAAAAAAAAGGCTAAGACGAGGAATCCGGTCACAGCCAAATCCAAGAGAAATAGGCATCAAAATTCAGTAAAAATTATTGCGATAATATGATAGGAAACAATTTGTACCCTTCTAGGTCTACTCGGTCCAAATAGTAAATTTCATATGGTGAGTATGTAATCAACAACGAAGAATTAGGTGAAAATGGTAATACCACTTCGCACCAGTGGGTTCACGTTCACCGTACACGCCGCTGCTAGCTCAATCAGTGAACTCAGGTAATCAATTTAACAGTATTCTGATACATGGGGAAAAAAAATTATTGACTTATCAAATTATCTATTGAGCCATGAAAAAAATTCAACAAAAGAAAGAAACAAATCCACTATCTGTTAAGAATCAAGAAAGGTTTGCTGCTCTTCTCTAAGTTATCTCTACTGCCAGTTTGAACTTTGACGGGAAGGAATTGGGGAAAGATGATTTCATTTTCATTAATTTGGGCCTGCCTAATTATATATATAAAAAAAAAAACACAAAAGCCCGCCCACTAACTCTAAGCTGAACTGCCCAACAGTGAACAACCCAAGTCATCACAAAATCACAGTCAGCCCAAATCCTCTCTTCCTCTTCTTCTTTCTTCCTGTGCCTTTGACTGCAAAGAGAAGCTCCCTTCCTTTGGGCTATGGCAATTGGCGAATTCAGCTAGGGCGGCCGCTCTAGTTTGTCACCACCTAGATTCGCCACTGCATAGGATCTATAATTATCAGCCGCCCTAACTCGCCACCATCTAAATCCGCCACTACATTGAATCTATAATTACCACTTACTTTTTATTAACGTATAGCCTTTGTTTGAGTGTGCTTTGAATTTTTATTATTTTTTTTTGGGGAGAATGTATGATTAAAATATGGCTCAAACAAAGGCATAATAGAAAATTAGTTAAATTATAATTTAAAACCTCATAATTTCTCAACGTGGTTAGAAATTAGACTTTAAAAATTCCTCTCCATAACGAATTAATTTTATAACATAAAATACAATTAACAGTCAAATTTGACCAAGTTAGCACCGTGCCGCAAGTATTCCTCTTCGATATGTTGTACATTATGCTACATGAGTTGAACATTTTACTTTCTTCTTCAAAACCATTGAATAAGGGACCCCACGCATCATACCAGAAATCGACGGTGGAGATTATGTGATGCAGCTGGGAGCATACAGGTTACGTGTATGAGTGTATACATAGTAGGTCGTTCCCTTCCTGTAGTAGCAATAAAATAAAAATTAACAAAAGAAAAATAGTCTGTACTTTCTGCAAACATTCATTCATTTCATCTCTCTCTGCGACCGTTTCCTCTCACTGGAGACGACGTCGTTTTCGATGTACCTTGGCTCGTTTTGTTGTGTGTACAGCTGAAGCGTGAGAAAGAGGAGCAAGTTTTATTATCGGTGTTCTGTTTGAACACGTCGGGAAAAGTGTAAAGTCAAGCGCTCTCGATCGATCCCTGAAATTCCCCGATTCTGAGGTTTTTTTAACTTATTTTCTGCGTGAAAAACGTTGTTGGATTTTTGAGGTTGTTTCGTGCTTTTATAAATGTTCGATTGGTGCGTGTTTTGAGTTGAAGTTTGATTTTATTTTTTATTTTTGAAAAAAAATTGTTTCTGGAAGTAAAAATATTGATGATTTATAGAGTTGATTGACTGTAATTATTGGAGTGCAAAAGAAATGAGTGGTCAAATGAATAACTATGGTTTGATTGTTTACTTTCTTTGAGCTTGTATTGATTAATATGAATTTTATTGAAGCTCTTATAATTAGGGTTTTATTCAGTCTAATCAACTTTTGAAGTGTTCTATCTCTAAATGTTCGGTTTGAGAAAACTATATGAACATTTTTATGGATGATTACGGGTCAGTATCGAACTTTATGTTTTTGTCAATTGTGTGTATGGCGTTGGGTGACTGGTGGGTCATGTAGAGGAACCATTAGACTTTTGGAAGTAATTTTGGTTTGTGTAGCATCTATATTTATTTGTTTGTGTGCGTGGTGATGGGTGACTGGTGGGTTGAGTGAAGGGTTCATTATATTTTTTGGAAGTAATTTTGGTTTGTGTAACATCTTGATTGAGACTTGATATATTATTAATGATTCATTTTATTTATTTATTTATTTTTGTAGGGTTTTGGTGAGCGAGGTCCAGAGCGTCAAAATTCTCATGCAGAAGATATAAATTTTTTGAAGTATTTGTGCTGCTATAACTGTTTTGCCTGAAGAAAAATGCCGGAGGGGCCAAAATTTACAGGAATTATAGGCCTACACAATAATCATGACAATTTCGATTTCTCGCAAGATTTTTATCGTAAGCTCAATGAGGGTTCTAACATGTCCATTGATAGTTATGGGAGTTTACAGATGAGCAATGGCGGAGGCTCCGTTGCCATGTCAATGGACAACAGCAGTGTTGGTTCAAATGATTCCCACACCCGTATCTTGGGTCACCAAGGCCTCAAGTATGTCAAAGACTATTCCGTTGCGGCAAGTGTCAATCCTGGGAGAGTCTCCCAAGGGCTGAGCGATGATGCCCTGGCCCAAGCTTTGATGGACCCTCAATACCCTACCGATGGGCTTGGGAACTATGACGAGTGGACAATTGACTTGAGGAAGCTCAACATGGGGCAAGCTTTTGCTCAGGGCGCATTTGGGAAGCTCTATAAGGGTACTTATAATGGAGAAGATGTTGCAATTAAGCTTTTAGAGAAGCCAGAGAATGATCCAGAGAGGGCACACTTGATGGAGCAGCAGTTTCAGCAGGAGGTGATGATGTTGGCAAGGTTGAAGCATCCGAACATTGTTCGCTTTATTGGTGCATGCCGTAAACCCATGGTCTGGTGTATCGTAACTGAGTATGCAAAGGGGGGTTCTGTGCGCCAGTTCTTAGCAAAGAGACAGAAACGATCTGTGCCTTTAAAATTGGCTGTAAAGCAGGCCTTGGATGTTGCAAGGGGGATGGAATATGTCCACAGATTAAACTTGATTCACCGAGACTTGAAGTCCGACAATCTTCTAATTTCAGCTGACAAGTCAATTAAGATTGCAGATTTTGGGGTTGCTCGTATTGAGGTGCAAACCGAAGGAATGACACCAGAGACGGGGACTTATCGATGGATGGCCCCGTATGTTTCCTACTCTTCTTTTTTGCTTCTGCTGTGACTCATAAATTTAATCTTTTTACTGGTCTTAAAACTTTTTACAGAAACAAATTTTTTTCTTTTTTAATTTTAGGAGTTTCTTTCTAAGTTATGTTGCTACTATTTTACCATTGTTTCTCTGCTTTAATTTAATTTAATTTAATTTTTTTATTTTTCTAAGTCCACAATTTTTCAAGTTTTCTTGTTATACACGTTCAATTTGTTGTTCCGTCATATGTCCTTGTGCAGGTGAGAATACAAAATGAGTTGCATAAATTTAGAAATGGGGTTGGTTTAGCTGTTGGATTTAATTATTGTAAAATTTCCTAACAGAAGACGGTGACAGAAATTGAAATAGGAACAAATATTTCCTCTTTACTAGTACCTGAGTAATTTGAGTATGACTCCATTATATTGCTTTCTGCACAGTTTCTTGCTTGTTTCGTTTTTTAGCTTCTGTGCTCATTTACATACAAAATATTGAAAAGTATGGGAGAGATTAATCTGCTGCATACTAACGTTTGTCATACTCTTGGGCATGCTAATATATGCTGTATCAGTTCGTCTAATAGCCTTGCACAGTTATCTGCTAGCTATCCTTTGCTTTCATAAACAACACTATATTTCTGTGGCCCCCTTGAGATGTATTGAATTGTACAGAAAAAAGACAGGTGTCTACATATTGCTGATAGTTATATTTGGATTTCCAAAAAGCCACAGATAACACCTGTGTTTTGAGGTAAGATAGCATTGCTTACTTAGAGTATTCCACTCAGCCATTTATTTTTGAGTCCCATCTTCTGATTGATGGAATTCTTCTCTACATGTTGCCAACCTTTTATAGTTTAAGTTTCTGTTAAGGTTCTAACTGGAGAAATTGAGAACAAAGGGATGGTTATTGATTTCTGAAAGCAATGACAGGGAATGTAAAGTAAAACAGATAAACTAGACTCTCTTCTACTACTCAACTCTTGCCTGCCTATCACTACAGTTTGCCCCTCTATTTATATATCCTTTCTAACTGCTTGCTCCCCTTCTCAGCCTGCATTAATAACAGAATTCTGTTGCTACACATTCTTCTCAATTCTACGGGCTCTTCTAGAATTGGAGGCCTATCATTATCCCCGGGTTCCAAAAACACCTTGTCCTCAAGGTGGAAATCATATTTTGTCTCATATTTTGCAATTGGATTCGAAGATGGAATTCGCCAGCCATGACATTTAATGGCTAAGCTGGAATTCAATCGGCAAATATTGGGAGTAGGCAACTCCATAGCCCGTTGCCCCTACCACCAAAATTTCCCATTTTTGATTTAGAGATGGGTTGTGAACTAATTTAGGAATTGAAGAGAGGCACTGTTTTGCAAATTGAAGAGAAAGTCGATGTAGTCTCTTCACAAGAAGAAATCAGATCTGTATACTTACTTGGGTTTGTTTTGCTTGGGACTTGTTTCAGTCGTAAGTTTCCTTCTACAGATCGGGCCATCTCCGAAATCAAGCCCACATGTTTTTTATTTTTTGAAGTTGAGCCCTAAGTGCCAGACCTTTGCCTTTTATTGATTGGACCCTCTCCAAGACCAATCCCACAGGCTTTTGAAAATGAATTTTAGGCGTAATTGTCAGCCCACTAATATATTTTTCTTCCCTTTTGTTAGTCGACACCTTCATCTTCTTCTACTTGATTTGCTGTAGCAATCTTTGTTTAGAAACCTCCGGTGGAGGAGAAAGTAAGAGTTCCAACATCTTGAGTTTCCAAACATGCTGCTAATCACCACCATCTCTATTTTGATCAGAAGCTTTTGTAATTCCTTCGGTACCGCCACCCCGCTCCTTCTAGCCATTTTCCTTTGTCTTGTGCTGGTTGATCCACCAAGGGTTCCCAGTGGACGTTAGGAGGTAGCTTTCGTTCCATAACACTTTTGGATCTATCTCCTTCGAATACCTGGTCATTGTTGTCTTGTGAAAAATCTAGGCAACCATATTTTTTGGGTTTCTTCCTTGGACAGCAGTAACTTTTCCATGCTGTGTGTGAGGAGACCTTTCCAAATCCAGTAAGCGCTGCATCTGACATATCAATTGCTTCATCTCCTTCTCCATGGCTTCCACTTTGATTTCTATCTTCTTTTGAGCCATCAGAATCGGTCACTCTGATACCAATTGTTAAGGTTCTAATTGGAGAAATTAAGAACAAAGGGATGTTTATTGATTTCTAAAATCATTTACAGGGAAATGTAAAGCAAAACAGATAAACTAGACTGTCTTCTACCACTCAACTGTTGCCTACCTACCCCTACGGTTTGCCCCTCTATTTACATATCCTTTCCAACTGCTCTCCCCCTTCTCTGTCTGCATTAATAACAGTATTCTGTTGCTACACATTCTTCTCAATTCTCTGGGCTTTTCTAGAATTGGAGGCCTATTAGTTTCATGGTGAAATTATATTTTCAATTCCTAAATAAACATATGAATGAACTATGCAGAGGAATCAGATTTATTGGTTGGTGGACAAATATCATGTCCCTTAAATTACACTAATCTTTCTCAATATCATTATTTATCTGTTCTTGTTAGGGTCCCCACCCATCCCCCAAAACACACACACACACACACACAAAAAAAAATAAGTACGCACAAAAGAATAAAAAGAGAGAAGCTGTTAGATTGTTACCATTTTTATCTATATTGTTCAATACTTCATACGTAAACTTCTCAAAGTGATAAGATAAACTTATGACTTTCATAATGTTTCCTATTTGTAAAACACTTTTGCTTATAGTGTGAGGTCCTTGAAATAAAGATATGACTCTTGGGAAATTGCTTATATGTGGTGATGCCAAATACTAGAGATGAGAAATTTTACTTTAGTGGGTTTCATTTCGTTTTCCCCAGGTTATTCTCTATTTTTATTTCTTTTTCTAACTCTGGTCTCAATTACTTAGTCTCTGTTTGGTCTCCATTATAAATTAATACATTTTTTTTTGTCATTTTAACCACACATTCTCTGATAAAATAATATAATATGTAAACTCAAAATTTTTTCTTCTTTTTTATAAACACGTTCTTCAGAAAAATCACTATTCCAGAATACATAATCCCCCAAAACTCATTATAATGGATCCCAATTAAGGGCTTAATAAGGTTGAATGTCTAATTATGTACTAGTCCCTTGATTTAATCATTTGCTCATGAACTCAGTTACTGTCTCAAGCAAGAGAAATGAACAATTTCAACATTATTTATAGATATTAATGGCATGTTCATTATGGTAACTGAGCTGAAAAGGCATGGACATCAAATAGTGATAGAAAGGTTCTTTTTCAACATATATTTCTTGTGGAAGAATATTCCATAGTTAAAACTTGTCTCAAGCAAGAGAAATAAACTAGTATACAACATTATTTCTTGTGGAAGAATATTCCATAATAAAAAATTGTCTCAAGCAAGAGAAATAAACAATTAAATTATTTATAGATATTAATGATGTGTTCGTTTTCAACTTGAACATCATTGCTGAATGAAACTAATATCATTTAGATCACGATCTTCAAGGCATCATGACCGGGGCTGCAATGGACCAACCTTCTAAATATCAAAGTCAATTGATCACCTTGAATCCTTTCTACTAATTAGATTTTATGCAGTTGCTATACACCATTGCTTCTCTCATACCCATGAGCCGTTGATTTTACTTCTATGGCTCTTCTACTCGATTAACTTTGATGAACCCGACCTTTCATGCAACAGTAAATTGGTGTTTTGCTGAAGTATTTGTGGATTTATGCTTAAAAATGAAAGGTTAGGAAATTTCAAGATCACCGAATTTACGTATATAGTCTTCCTAGTCACTAAATATTTTGAGGCGAGATGAATACGGTGTTTTGATGTTTGTTTCTTCTTTAAGTTTCTTGGTATGATTTGTCTAGAGACTTAAAAGCCATGATATGGATCTGAAACTAGAAAATTCTCAATTTTGAATTACTGAACTACCTATATTTTTTCAGCAAACATTACATTTTGGCCTCACCATATGGTTATATTAGAGTTTGGAGGCTACCTAATTTAACTAAAGGTTTAAATGCTAAATAGGGGAAAACAAAAGATATATGGATCGAAACTATACTTAATAAATCTCCAGGAAAGTAAGAGAGAAACAAAAAGTGGAACTGATACTATATGTTTTATTCAATGGAAGGAATTAATCTAGGGCATCACCACAATACTACTCTGCTGATACGTATTTCAGAATATATAAATTTTTTTTTAAGTTATAACTGACACTTAAACTAAACTCCTAGTGGATTGGCATGATCATGTGGGTGTTTTCTGCTTACTGGAATGTCCAGGAAACCTGCAACCTGATATGCAACTTCATCTAGATTCATTAGCTATCACATACCTTGGTGAGTACGACTATTGTTGTAGATATGTAGGCTTATTGGTACAGCAAATATATCTTGAAAACTATATATTTGAGAAGGATGGTTCCTGTGGGATTGTACCTACTTGGTTCTGGTCCTATGGGCAGAATGGTCTTAGGAGTTTTGAAGACTTAAAAATTAGACAATTGTTCTTTTCTTAATCCCAAAACGCTTCTGATTCCACTAAAAAAATGACGATTCAATGTAAACATTAGGTTTACGTGGCTATTGATGGTCAGTGTGGGCAATTCTGTTCACAGACAGTTTACTGGTGATAACTAGAGACAGCAAGTACAAGGACTTGAAGCTTGCTTAGCCTTGAGCAATACGATTCTCTATCTTGGGGTTAAGTTTACATGGCTATTGATGGTCAGTGTGGACAATTCTGTTCACTGACAGTTTACTGGTGATAACTAGAGACAGCAAGTACAAGGACTTGAAGCTTGCTTAGCCTTGAGCAATACGATTCTCTATCTTGGGGATCTAGCAATACTGTGTTATTCACATTCTTTGCTTTATTGTGGACCCTATTCTCAATGTTGAAAACCTTGTTATATTCGTTGTTTCTCCGGAGTCTGGTTTTTTTAGGTTAGTAGATTCTAATGTGGCATTGATAGATACCTAACCTAGAAAACTTTTTGATTCAAGCTTCGAAATCCATTCGACACCCTCATTATCAGTTGACTCATGCCCGAAATAACCTTGCAACCATGTGAAGGCGATATCCAACTGCAAAATCAATACGTCAAGAATCTTTAATGTGATTTGATGCTTTAGGCATAGATGTGACACAACGACCATAATTATCTGCCTCTGGTTACTCAAAAAAAATGATGGGAATGAATTTATAATGATGTTAAATAAAAAACCTACTTGAAAGATTTTGGCAGCTCGGTGGATGTGTGAGAAGAAGCAAGTAATAGGCCAAAATAACATGTTGCCTTGTAATCATTATGTTACTACGCCCCATCTTGGTTTGGATAAAAATTAGATTTTAGTAGATTTTGATAATAGTAGTTGAAATATGTGGCTGGAAATAAATTTGGAGGAAAATGAGAGCCAAACAAGGGCTAAGTTTCAGCACTAATCTAGGCATGGAAATTTATTGGAAATATAATAGTTGTTATTTAGGAGGAGAATCTCTTTAGTGGGAAACGAACTTCCAGAAACCACCTACTCAATCAGTCTCATGCTGAAATAATGACGGTATAGCTGTCCTTCCGTTACAATTATCATTTTTGTCTATTTTCAATTTAATTTAAGCAATGTTTGTTGTTCATTGGAAACGTACAGAGTATTATGGTTGTTGAAAATGTTTATTACACAATTGCAGGAGAAGTGTACCAGCCAGTGATTACAGGCAATTAGAGATATTGTTACAATCTAGATGTTAAATGGGTGAATGCAACAGGAAAATGTGCTTGTAAATTGCAGGTGTGCATTCGAGGTCTATATAGGATGGGGGCCTAATATACGTGTGCAATGATGGGGGCCCAGTAGTACTGAAGATGGTAACAAATGGCGGGTTAGAATCTAAGAAATTAGTACAAGGTGTTTGGATGGTTAGGGCTATTAAATGATGAATTAGGAGGAGATGGGGTGACACAGGCGTTGAATGTGATGTGGCAGTTTTTCCGTGTATAATGAGAACAGTAGTGGATCTGATGTTTTGCTCGTAAACAGTTGTGTGTTATAGAGGCTTAATTGAAATTGTTGTCTTCTTAGTAATAGTAAAATTTACTGTTCATATTCTTTATTTAATGTTTCATTATAGGCTACTCACTGCTTGTTGCACTGAATATGCAGGGAAATGATCCAGCATAGGCCATACACCCAGAAAGTTGATGTGTATAGCTTTGGGATTGTACTTTGGGAGCTCATCACAGGAATGCTTCCCTTCCAGAACATGACTGCTGTTCAGGCAGCATTTGCAGTTGTCAATAAAGGTGTTCGTCCCAATATTCCCAATGATTGCCTTCCCTCTCTCAGCGAGATCATGACTCGATGCTGGGACACTGATCCTGATGTTAGGCCTTCCTTTAGTGAGGTAGTCAGAATGCTCGAGGTTGCAGAGACAGAGATCATGACTACTGTCAGAAAAGCTCGTTTCAGGTGCTGCATGAGTCTACCGATGACTACAGATTGATGACGAGAGAGGAAATTTGATAAGGGTAAGAACAAAGTAAAGAATTGGAAGGGGAAGAAACTAATTTGATATCAGCTTTGTGTATGTATCATCATCAGGCTTAATTTCTTTCTTCAGATAGATAAAGGGAGGAAAGTTATGACAAGATCTGCTTGCTTTATGTAATTTATTTTTATAAGTTTCTGACTCTAAGATCTTAGTAGGAGAGATTTTGTGTGTATTTATATGTGCCCGTTGTGTTATATTTAAATGCTACCTTTTTTGGTCTTGTATCCATCAACAATGGCAGGTAGAATATATTTACGTCAGACTCAGCTTATATTCTTGAATGTGAACTGTTTAGATACTGCTTTGAAGATGGTGAGTTTGGTCGGAGATTTTCTCCACCTCGGCCGTCTGCTTTTCTAAGTACTTCTTGGAGGTCTGTCCAATGGCAGCAAAACATTTCAGTTCCGGACGTGATGATGAATCATGTATAATTTGAATAATGCTTTTTAGCACTACTTAGTATACCAGTTTTTGGTGTCACGCTTTGATAAAGTTCTATTAAATGAATGATGTGGTATTGGATTTATGTGAACCTATCAAATTTGATGAAATCATGCTAAAGTTAGCCCATTTTTGTCAATTTTGTCTCTCACCTGAACGTGCAAAGTAATAGCAGCAGCACAATGAGTGTTTCGGTCGGAAGTGAAATGGAAGTCGGATTCAAGATGTCAATAAGATAGAAATGTAGATTTGAGTATTGCACCTTAAATCTGCTCTGTATAAAAAATAGGCCTGAAAATGCTTAAAAGCAACATCCCAACTTAGGCCCTGTTTGTGGTCCTTTAATTTCAAAAAATGGAGTGTGGAATAGTGATTGATGTTGAAATGTGGTTAAAAAAGAAGGAAATTTTTTTGATGTATGTGTAATATTATTTTAATGAAAAATGTGTTGTTAAAAATGAGTACTGTAGAAAAAATAATGTG